AATAGAAATTAAAAAATTTGTTTAAAAATAGTTCTTATTGCTCAAAAGAATATTATAACACAGAGTTCAATTCTTGAGTAAAAAATTACCCAAAATCTTTCTGCCAAACTAATTCAACTAAATTTTTTGTGGGTATCATCTGCTCTTTTGCTTATAAATACTCAAATGCAATTACACCCAATATCCTTCTTTTGTAATTGTAACCACAACATTTAGGTAGCAATCTCCCTTCTAAGATTAAGTTCAGTTTATGACTAATACTCATTGGTAAATCAGCAATGGGATAAAAGTCTTCATTTCATTTATGAATTTTAATGTTGTTCCATTCTGCCAGTTGGGGAGAGGGCAGCGGTCGGTATCGAACAGAGGACTTTGACCTTCCTGGGCAATCTAAGTTGTCATCAGTCAAGAGGCTTCAGTGATAGTTTGCACACTTTCTCATTTAAGATTGCTATGACCCAGGTTCTTGGGAAACTGCTTTATACTATATACTTCACTTGTAGCTCTCTTCCCAGAGCCCTTTTTATTGTTGCTTGCTCATCCTCAGGGCTCCAAAAGGAGTCACCCCTCACGCATGCCTTCTCTAGTGGCATTGCCTTGCATGACCACCTATTGCATCTTATTTATTTCCTCCAAGGCCCTCAGTCTTATCTGTAGCTACACATTTGCTGAGCTGCTCACTGTGTCTCCTCCACTCCTCTTTAAGAGTTCCTAGGAAAAGGACTGCATTTAGTTTATTCACCAAACTAAAGCCAGCCGAACTTTATAGACTTTGAGTCCTCTCGAAGGAAAGATGGTGCTGGGCGCATGGCCCACCCCCAATTTTTTCTGTGTCCCTTTATTGCTCTGTCCTCAGATAAGCACTTAGCATAATGGGGGCTTTGTTGAACAAGTAAGTATTAATGAGGATTGACTGTTCACTTCCTGCGAATCTAAAACTCACTTCAAGGGAAGTGAATTTGTCTATGCTGCAGGCCCTGGAAGGCTTTGGAACGGTGGGGTGCTTACTCAAACCTGCAGGAGGTGCAAGCTGTGTTGGCCCCTCAGGGGCCAGGCTTTCTGGTTTTGGACAACGGATAAGACACGTGACAGAGCACGCATATGAGTGACTTTTAACTCCCTAGTTGTCAACCACTATCAACCATTCTATGGAATTTGGGGGATCCGCATACAAGGAAATGTTCAATAATGGTTGAGGGTCAGAACTTTCATTTAATCCTATTAGCTCCACACTGGAAATTCTAAACTTTGCCCATTGATGAAACGCAGACTAAAAATAATACAAGGAATTGCAACAGACAACAGATACCTGAAGCGAAAGGAATTGGGACCTGTATTGAAAGCCAGGTGAATGGAAGTCAAGGAGTGAGTTTCCATAAGAAAGTGGACCATGCTTGATAGAAAGTGCCACCCAGTGTGCTGGCCGTGTATTTTTTACATGTGATTATGCATTTACTAACTTGAGAGCTCCCGAGCTCTCCAAAATCAGCCAGCCTGTCTTCCATCTTTCTTCAAGAGCCAAAGCGGGGAAACGCCTGTCAAGGGCCTGCCAGTGAGGTAATGAAAATCCTGACCTCATAAGAAGTCCTTGTGACAGCACTGCCACCCCTTCCGTACTTGGAGACGTCACAGAGGACCCCCAGTCTGGGCCCCGTGGCTTCCGGAGGCCTTAGGGGACCAGGTCAGCCACTCAGCTGTTTGGTCCTGGCCGCAGCAGAGGCTGCTCCGCCAGGTGCTGCGCAGCGGGAGGGGAGCCGGTCCTGCAGGGTGTGATTCTTGCTCGTGCAAGGCAAACTTTGGGAAGGAAACGGGGCTAGCGAACTGTGCCAGCAGGCCGCTTAAGTTTTCTTTCAAGAAGATACCTCTTTCTGCCAAGCCTCTTGAAGCTTGGCGGTCTTCCCACCAGGCCGGTTGGGGAACCCTGTAGAGGCTCATGCCCGGAGATAGGATGTGAGGTGATGTCAGGAGAATGGCACTCATAAACAGAAAGTGCATCTGCGACCTTTGCTCCTGTGGCAAGCATCATTGCCCACATCCCGCCACCAAGATTTATGAGAAGACAGAGAAACCATGTTTTTTCTCCGAATACACCGAGAAGTATCCTATCTATCCATCTTACATGCCCCGAGAGTCCTTCAAACCGAAGGTGGAGTACCAGAAAGGAACTATACCAATGGAAGGCCTGTCTACAACAAAGAGAGACTTTGGGGGTCACAACATCGTATCGGTGAAACACCATCGTCCCGAAAAGTTCACTCCGAGCCAAGATGAAATGGATTTCCTCACAACGTATAACCAACACTACAACTACCATCCTGCCAGTCGAGTGAGCCCCATCAAACCTCGAGACAACAGACAGCCATGTACCGACAAAATGGAGAATGTGCCTACATACAAAGCCCATTATTTACCTTGGAACCAGCAAAGGAGACCTCCATTTCGTCCACAGGAAACATACCGTCCTTCGTCCTGTAGGTTCGATCATAGAACCACACACCAGGACGATTACCCCATAAAAGATCTGGTGGATACGGTGAATTACAAACCCCCAAATGTGCCAAAGCTCTGTAATATTCCCCTGGAGAATATTACAAGCTACAAATCGACCTATGTGGCCCATCCTTTGGAGAAACGGTATGTGTACGAGGCGGAGAAGTATAAACCATGTGAAATCCCTTTTGACGGCCTTACCACCCACAAAGATTCTTACAAGGGTTTGAAGGGGGAGCCTGCGAAGAGCTGGAAACCTGCGTCCAACCACTCTGGGCTAGACATACCTTTTCCAACCAACACCGAATTTCGAGATAAATTCCAAGCTTGGCCAACACCGCAAATAGTCCCCAAAGAGCCTATCCCTTATATCCCACCTGAAGGGAAGATGGATCTTCTGACAACTTCGCAAGCTGACTTCAAGTACACTAATGGTATTCCTGCCCAGCCCTGCCGGCCAGTCTACCATATAAAGAAGAGCGACCGCTTTGAAGGCTCCACCACCACCAAAGAGGATTACAAACAGTGGGCCAACGTCCGCAGAGAGCCACTCAAACCTCCTCCCCAACTGATATTCTCTGATGAGCCTATGGATTACATGACCACCAATCGCGCCCACTATGTGGCCCATACACCTGTCAATACCAAAAGCTGCAAGCCTTCCTGGTCCGGCCCTCGTGTAAACATCCCGGTAGAAGGCCAGACCACCTATTCTACCAGTTTTACTCCGAAGGAAATTCAAAGGTGCCCAGCTTCATATTCTGAACCCCCTGGCTACATCTTTGAGGAGGTGGATGCTGTCGGGCATAGAATTTACAGGCCTGCTTCTCAACAGAGCAACCATCGTGGCTTTGGTGATGCAGAATGCCCTAACCAGAGAGAGATGGCAGTCCCAGCCTGCCATTGAGAAATGGTTGTTTAGCAATTGAATTTGCACAGTGTATTAAAAGCAAACAACTAAGGATTATTAATTGGACACAAAAGAATTCCCCAAAATGAAAACAACTATGTAAACAAGACAACAAACTTTATTATCAACTTCAGGATATTTGAAAGAAATAAGAATCACCTAAAAAATAGCATGGAATTACCAGCTGATTGACTCCTCTTAATCCTTCCTGTATTGTACCTCCCTAGCCCCACCAATGCCCCTTGCTTTGTGTTTATGAAATCAAAGCTGGTCTCAAGAAAATATTTCTCTGATCTAGGTGTATTTTGTTAATCTGATCATTTGAAAAGCTTGAAGTGTCAATAATAAAATTTATGCTGGGGAAAAAGTAAAATGGTATGATGATTCATTTTTGTTTTTTAATTCTTTAAAATTTTTCATAGTGTGTGGATTAAAACCAGACATTGATACATTCTACGTAAATACTTGACTACCGAGTTATACCCTAAGCCCTTTAATTCCTTCTTAGGCTGAGCAGATTTCTGGTACTTACTTAGTGAAATTGTCCAACTTAAAATGTATCTTAGTATTTGTATTACTGCAAGAAATATGCTCACCTTAGTTTCTAGGCAAACTACACAAGTACTGCTTTGGTTTGGAATACTGAAAATGTATAGATATTTTTGTATTCCTTACTGAAAATAGAAAAAAACTCATAAAATATGCATAAAAGTAATGCCTAGCCCACTAGTACATTAGCTTTGGTGTAGATAAATTAGCAAAAGCTAAAAATTACTAAGCTATATATGGTAAAAATTTTAAATTTCATTTGTATATTTTATTTACTTATTCATGTTTCTCTTTCTTTACAGGGTCTTTGTGTATATATCATGGCTTCCAGTTGTGTTTTTAATGGGATTACTGGGTGTGTAAACTAGTGGAGTTAATATTTCTTTCTTACGTTTTTCTTGGGTTATTTCCTTTTCTTTTGTCCTATTCCAATGTGTTAGATTTGCTGTACTATATTTTTAGTCCTTAGAAGACTGTTTTCTAATGAGAAACAGAAGGGATTGATCTGGATGGGGGGGGCAGTGGTAGAAAGGAACTTGGAATAAAGGGAGGAGAAAACTTAGAAAAACTTTTATTTTTCTATAATCTCCCAAACATATTTTTTTATTTTCCTGTTCGTTGCTCATTTGCACATTTTTAATAGTGCAATACTGTTATGCCATTGTGCTTGTATGATCGCTTTCTACTTTAAACTTAAAAGTAGCTATTACTTCGTGAACAGGGTAGAAGAAATGCAGGCAGAAGACCAGAGCAGCAGCTGGCACAAAGGAAAACTGCGATTTTGCAAAGAAGTCGGTTGGGAGAGCAGACTCCAGACTTTCTGGCTCCAGTCTTTGTCCTTACATTCCCAGGGACCCGCATCAGGGTCTTTGCCTCAGGGTTCAGTCTCCCAGCCTCTGGCACCACCCCTCAGCTCCTGGCCCTGCCCACAGACGCAGGCCCCGCCCCCGCGCCGGGTCCTGTTCTACCACTCCAGGCCCCGCCCCGCCGACTCAGGCCCCGCCCCGTCGCCCCACTGCTCAAGCCTCGCCTCTCCGCTTCGGCCCCGCCCCGGCCGGCCGCCATATTGGTCCTTCTGCCCAAGTCGCTAGCTGTTGGAGCTCGGGCTGATTAGCGCTCTCTTCCCTTCCGTGTCTCCGGCTCTCTTTCTTCCCTGGTTGCACCCAGGCGGGCTGACCAACAGCTCCCGGGGCGTCCTGTGTGTGGCTGGAAGGTGAGCGGGGATCAGCATTCCTTTTGGGGCCGGGCCGGAGCTGGTTAAGGGTGCGCGCGCTGGGCAGGAGCCGAGGGCCACCAGGGCGAGGGGCGCGCCAAATTGGCGCGGGTCGGTAGACTGCTGGGTAACACGGGCGGTTTGTCCCCCAGTCTGATGACTGATGCAGGAGGAAAGACGGGTTCGCACACTCAAATACATAGGAAGAGGGATACACACCCAACCACTCGGGGCATATACTCGCGCGTACACACACACACACACACCCCCTCCCATACACATAGAGGAAGAGAAATCCACAAAACATCCCGGGAGGGAGATATACCCAAACTCAGACCCCCAAACACTTCGGAATTGGATGGTGGAGAGATGCTCACACGGACAAATACGCAAACACCTGGGTACACACATATACACCAGTCTTTCCCCTAACCACACGGGGACACCCACGCACACGAGACCAAACCTTGCGCCAGAGTGACTGACTAATGCTGGGGAAAGCAAGGACGCTCGTGTTATTTGAGTTTGGCGACCTCTGACATCCTACCCGGTTGAGCATTTACTTAATGTCTTTGGCCCACGCAGGTAAGGGAGCTTGGAAGATAAAGCCAGGGCAAAGACCATGTAGGCGGTTGGGAACATTGTCTGATTCAGACCTTGGCAGAGGTTTCAGAATCGCGTTTCTTCCTTTCTTCCATCTTGCTAAGTGAAAAGGCCAGATGAGACTTTTTAAGTGCTGACCAAATGGTTGGTGTGTGTATTATTGTTTTGTTTTGTAAGTGATGACACATCCCGTGATCATATTTCTTTTGAGGAATAACTTTTTTGCAAGTTTCCTGATTGGCACGTGACCAGTCTTTTCACACGTCCTCAAAATCAACAGACTGAATTTGGTTTTTGTTTTGTTTGTACAAGTTTTTGTCTTTTTTTTTTTTTTCCTCGCTAGTTCCACTGCAGTGGACAATCCCTACACTGCCTGAAATCTCAACTCGAGTTGAAGGAAACCCGGGGTTTTCAACTAAGGACTATTTTTCTTTTTCGTTTCTATACTCTTCTCTTTCCATTGCTGGAGACCAAACCTAGGGCCTTGTGCTTGCTAAGCAAGAGTTCTCTACACCTGAGCGCAATTCCCAGCTCCTCCCTTAGTTAGGGACTTAAGTAATCTGCTTTTTCTTTGTCTTATCTCAGGTCGAAGTTCTCACTAATTGTGTAGAACTCCAAAGTATCTTACACTGGGGTGCCATGTCTGACAGTGGTGCGGCAGTTTCTTGCTTTCAGGGTTTTCATGTAGATTGTAGTCTCTTGCTGTACTGAAACGTTTATGGTTTGGAGGCTTATTGACTTAGAACATTTGGGGATGTAAGGACATTTTTGTTTTACTTTCTGGAAGGTTAGCGTAGACAAGCGGAAACTAGAACATCCATTGTTGGAGACGGAAATACATTGGTGGTATTCTCTCTTTTCCAGAGATCCTTTTTACATTTTCCCCTATCCAACTACTTCCATTTTATACTATAGTACTCTGGAGGCCTGAAGTTCTTTTAGTTCTCGATTTTTTTTAACCTCCTTCAGTTTCTTACTATCTATTGGAAGGTCCTACTCCATATCACTTGAATTGGTTTTCCTGGTGTTTGCAAAGCAATGGTTCTGTTTTACAGATGATGAATCTGCTGGGACCTGGGAGGCTTAGATCTCCTTTCCAAGGTCACCTAACGAGTGAGGGAGCAGTGCTGATTTTCAAAGTATGTTTGTGGGCATTTTAGAGTAGTAGTTTGCACCGGGAGGAAACTTTATCTTCTCAGGGGATATTTGAAAAATGTCTGGAAGCAGTTTTGGTTCACATTCCAGGTCACACCAGGCTTCTATAGTTCTTTAAGCACAATGTCTATTTTACTATTTAGGACAGCATTTTTATTATTTTAAAAGCTTGCTGGGTGAAAATTCTCTTTATTAAGAGGTATATGAATACCTGGTAACAATTCATTTTTTTGTTTCATGGTTTTGTTTTTTTCATTTGATTTATTTTTAAGCTGGCCTCAAACTTTGTACATTATCGGAGGCTGGCTTTGAACTGCTGCCTCAGCCTCCTAAATTCTGGGATTACAGGGATGCACTACCACAGAAGTTTTGGAATCCTTTTTTTTTCTAAGACAAAAGTGACAGACACTTTGACACTATTGGGAACCATTCCAGTGGACTTAGTAAGCCTGTTTCTTCATTATTCCATTCATGCACAGGTATTTTCTGAACTGCTTGTCGGACACTGGTACAAAGGTGCTGGCCAGAAGGAAGAGTAGTGGGGAAGCTGGCAGGCTGGTCACAGTCATAAGACCAGGTTCTGGCGTGGTCCTAGAAGAGAATTTGTTGTTTGGACTAGTCGGGAACAGAGGTCAGGTGCTCATGAAGGAAACAACACATCCACACCCAGCACAGGAAGGAGTACCTGTCTCATGACATTCTTTGCTGGGCAGACTTAGATGAAGTGGAAAATAGTTTCTGGGCTCTCGAAAGCATTGTACAGTTGAATTAGGCTTGTGCGTGATTACTAAACTACATCCAGAAATTAGTTGTCTTTTTTTTTTTTTCTCTCCATAATAGGGTCTCACTGTGTGGTTTCAGCTGGTTGCGAATTCACTTAGTAGACCAAGAGGCTGGCCTGCAGCTCAATCCAGCTCACTATCTTATTGCCTGGAGAAGCCATTCTTAATTTACATGAGGTCTGGCTTAAATTTAGCCTCAGTAGATAATAGTTAGACAAGTGTTTTATTGTTGAAATCAAGAAATCAATGATAAAAAATTTAAAATAACATTTGCAATATTTTTCTTTTTAAAGATTTATTTATTTTTGTATTTATGTGTATAGGTGTTTGCCTGCATGTGTGTCATGGGTACTTTCTTTTGTAGTGCCCATGGAGGCCAGAAGAGGGTAATGGATCCCCTGGAACTGGAGTTTACAGATGGGCATAAGATGTCACATGGGTGCTGGGAATCCAATCCAGATCCTCTGAAAAAGCAGCCAGTGCTCTTACCTGCTGAGCCATCTCTCCAGGCCGAGTAATTTTCTTTTTGGTGTTTTTCAGCCTGTTTTTTTCCATGATTGTCTGAGTCTGAGACTAGGCCTTTCATGATGCTCCATTCTAGCGTCAGTTATTACTGTTAGGTGAGCCTTCGGGATGGGTGTGTGCACACGTGTGCTCGCGCACTTGCCAGGTTAAATCTCTTTAGGATTTCCTGGGGAAACATTCACATGGTCACTAGGTTGGTTTGTGGTTGTGAGAATGTATGTGTATGTATGGTATGGATGCACACGTGTGTGTGAAGGCCAGAGAAGGATGCGGAGTGTTCAGTTCTATGTTCCACCTTTATTCCGTTGAGACAGTCTCCTACTGAACCTGGAGCTAGGCTGCTCGTCAGTAACCTGCAGTAATCCTGGTGTTTATGAGACCACATCCAGCTTTTTTTGTGGGTTCTGAGGATTTGAACTCGGGGCCTCTTGCCTATACAGGATGCTCGCTTACCCATGGAGCCATCGCCCCAGCTCTGTATCTTTGGCTTTTGACTCCTGCCTCTGCACAGTTTGTTTTTAAGCTAGTGAATATAGATTTCTCTACTGATTACCAGATGCTCTCTGCTGTGGTGTGTGTGGGGGGAGGTACAGGATTGTTGAATTTCATATCACCTGAAAATGATTGCCCTCACATGCATTCTAAAAGAGGTATGTGGGTTTTTGTTTTGTTTTTCTGAGAAGGGTCAAGAGGACTTGGTGCCAGGGAGTCTTGCTCAATCATTACTTGTCTTGCTACTCTCGCATACTTAGGTCACTTATATTTCTTTCTTTGGAAAAAGATACATTACTTCCTAATGTCTGCAGGTGTGTGTATATATATATATCAGGTAACGACAGCAAATCTTTAGCTGCCACATAATTCTGCCCTGGGCAGTTTGTTGGTTAAGCAGCAGGAGGAAATAAGCCAATTAGAAGTGGTGCCCAATGAGGCTAAGTTGAAAGCTATGTAGATAATAAAAGCTAGTATAAGAAAATAGGGTTTGTAACTACCAGGTCATCCACAGAGACCATTTATTAAAGAGCTGTTGGGGAGGGGAGGAACTGAAGTCAGAAAACGCCTCAGGAAGTTTGGTGGGAAGTCAGGAAGCAAATGAAAGGATTCCTGAGGCAGGACACCTGGAGCCACCTAGGTATGTGGGTGGTGGTGATAGGGGTGTCGGGCAGACCTGTAGCAGTTCCAAGCCCTTTGCCTCAGGGTGCCTGGGCTGGTTAGATAACTTGGAGGAGAAATCTGTTTCTCAATGTGACTCTTGATATTGTACATATTGTGATGTGCTTTGGGTATTTCCACATTCTGGATTTTTCCATTTTGGTTTCTTAATTTTTGACCCTGATGATTTCAGACTGTAGAATGTCATTACATTGGAGACACAGAAGACAGGACATGGAGATGTAGTTAAGGTGTTAAGTAAGATAACAGCTCTATATGAGGTAGAGAGCGTGTTTCAGAAGAAGTGTAGAGAAGTAAAGCAGGCAGGCGGCTTCATACTTGGTGGACACAGACTCCACTTTTGTCTTAGGCTGAAAGCATTATAAATGCTTGCCATTGTGTTGACAGGGACTGGGGAAACAGTATGGAAGGATTGCATGCATTCATTCTATGATGGCATTTCTTTTAATCTAAGGGTAAATAATAGTCAAACAGTAATAAGGACTGAACTAGTTTTTGTTTGGATTAGGTGCTCGGGTACAGAAGTTAAGAGAGTTTCCAGGAGGTTGCTGCTCATAGCTGTGTTAGCAGTGTTAGAGAAATGTGAAAAGACCTCACACTGATTTCAACATCTTGATAAGTAGACCGCCAAAAGGTTGTAGTGTTGAATGATTCTAACAGGGCCACAAGGCCAGGCGGGGTAGTGCACACTTGTAATCCAGGCATTTGACAGACAGAGACAGAAGAGCAGGACTTAGAGACCATCCTTGGCAACAAAAGAAGTTCCAGGCCAGCTTGGACAAAATGAGACCCTGTCTCCAAAACAAAGTAGAATAAAAACAAGTAGAAATCTCTGGGTTGCTTGCTGTCTTTAGCTTACAGGGTTGCTGTAGTCTGTGGTTTCAAGCTTGTATATTTGATCTGGTAAGTGTACCTGAAATACATACACAGTGTAGCAGGAAGTCAAATCAAAGACCTTGTTATGGGGCTGCATGTTGGTGAAAGCAGAGTAATCTGGAATGAATTTTATTACCCCCCCCCCCCCAAGACAGGGCTTTTCTGTGTTACAGTCTTGGAACTCGCTTTGTAGATCAAGCTGGTCTTTAACTCACAGAGATCCCCCTGTCTCTGCCTCCCGGGTGCTAGTGCCACCACCACCTGGTCAAATTCTAATATTCTTAAATAAGATTGGAAAATAAAAACAGTTTGGAACAGCAGACAACTGCCATTCTTTAGTCTGCCTTTCATTTTTTTTTTTCTGCAATCCTGGGCAAACTCAGCTTCACAAAGTTATGTCATCAGAAGGAATGTGTGCAATGTGGTGTTGAAATTGTGAACTCCCTTGAACACAGTACCATAGGGATGCCAGCATCTGTTTCCTTTAAGCATTTAGAGTAGCCTGCCCTACGCCTGTGAAGCCGTATAGTTTAGGAACCATAGCATTAGAAGTTGGTGTTTTCCATTAGTGTTTACAAACCTAAGGGTTTAGCGGTAAGGAAACAAGGTGTTAAAATTGGTTTTTAATTCCCTCCCATTCCCCTTCCAGTAAGTCTGAAAGCTTTTCCCCTGGACTTGCAGTTTGGGAATGCTGGTATTTGGGTTGCTGGCCTGAGGAGGGCAGGGACTGCAAAGGAAAGCACAGGCCAGGCTTCCTATGCAGGCTGCCCCTCTATCCCTGCTTTGCAGCCTCTTTTCTCGCCATTTTCTATTATATGCACTTGTTGAGGAAGTTGAGTGTGCTGGGAGGATTGGAGGGGTGGCTGTTCTTTCCCAGAGTGATCTAGCTTTCAGCCTTTACCTATCTATGTGGTTGGAAAGGTGCTGGAGAGCTAAGCGGTACATTTTAGTCCTGTGGCTGACTTTCCTTGTCAGTCAGTTCTTCTTGAGTTTCACACTGCCACCACTGTAGGGTTAGCTTTCCAGTCTCTAAATTAGTTTTTTTTTGGTGATTTTTTTTTGGCTGTGTATTTTTTTTTTGAGTCCTTTCTGTCATTTGGTGGGGGTGAGGATAACACTTTTGACTTAACCATGTTTATTTGGGCGTGGAGATGGTATTTAGTCTTTGTTAGCTTTCTGCTGATCTGCGAAGCATGGGGGATGGTGTCTGATCTACAGGAGGTTTTAAGGGGCATGTCTCAGATACTGTGATAAAATGGAGAGGCCACTTAAGAGATGGGCCTCTGGACATTCCTGTCTAACTGAGGTGGGAGGAGCCCTCTAGTGTGGGGAGCACCATTTTCTGGTTGGGATCCTGAGTTGTATAAATGCTCCTCATTGTGATGAGCTATGGGTCATTTCAGGTTCTGGGTTACCTTGACTTCCCCACTATGGTGGGCTGTAGCCTTCTTTCCTCTGCCTCAACTGTATGTCAAAAACTTTCTTCCTTAAGTAGCTTTACTCAGAGTATTTTATTACAGCCACAGGAAAAGAAACTAAGGCAGATACTTCATAGATTGTAGTAGTAGCAGCTGTTAAGATGTAGTTGTAGCACTTGATATTTAACTCAATAAGACAATGGCTAATGGGTTGGGAGGGAAGTAGACAGAATTCTTTGTAAGGTTGACTCAGGTAGATAAGACAGAAGAGAGAGGTCTTGGATAAATAGCATGGCTTGACATACTAAATTTGAGTACTGTCCTGATAAAGGGGTTGGAAATTTTTTGTGGCCCTGAGGTGTGAGAGTGAGGTGGACTTCAGGAATCACTGGTGTTTATAGCTAGTGGAAAGATGTGTGGACTTCAACCTCAGATTACAGTCTTTGAAAGATTGTTGAGAAAGGGAGCCGCCTGGCTGAAGAAAACTGATATAAGAGAGAAGCAGAGGCAGCCTCTTGTCAATAGTTTCATGGACTATTTTAGGAACATTTTCAAGAGGGAGAGGGTCATGTGCATTTTAGGCCTCATTGAGGCATTAATGGGGACTGACTAGTCCTATTTAAGACACGAAGGATCCCACCTTGCCTCTGGGTAAATGTGTGGTGCTAGCAAGATACTTTGTCAGGTGGGCCTCCCTTTCCTTAGTTGTTTTAGAAAACTTAATTACCCTTCTAAGATTCTGTGGCATGCACATCTTCAAGGATATTGCTGTCTGTTACCATGGCCACAGGTGGAGGGACAAAAACCATTCCTCCAAAACCAAAAACACCTTTTCACTCTTCTATTCACCTTAGGGCCCCATGTTGAGAAGTGGAAAGAAGCCATTGGATTGGCTAATTGCCATTTTCTGATGACTCGCTGATGTTCCAGGGAATGGAGGTGTGTAACTCTGGAGAGTTAATCTAGTGTGGAGGCAGATGGGGAACTAGGCAGTGAAGGGTAGAGGAAGTCTAGGCTTGGGAAGATTTCCTGTGAGAAGAGTCCATTCCAGCATCTCAGTAGGGTTAAACTGGGTGCCACTGGAGAGGTGTCAGTTACATCCAGTAAACAGAACTTAGGAAGAGATCCTTACAGTGTCTGGCATTGGACTGCTTACAACTTCTCTTGTGTGTAGGTGGAGTTTCCGAGCCTCTAATCTAGTTGAGTCTTAAAACAGATGCCCTTACTATATATACCATTAGTCAGCGACCAAGAGCAGCCTCACGCCTCAAAGTCTCTTGGTGTTGAAACTCTCAGAGGTAGTGTACCATAACCCACATCAAAGTTAGATGAGGGTCAGAGTAAGCTTGAAATGTTCGTTCCTGGCAGAGCATAATATGACAATTATTTTCAGTTAATTATTTTGTTTAATACATCTGGACCACGGTCAAGGCCATGGAAATCTCAAATGTGTTGCTAAGGCAGACGTGACTGTTAGGGAGGGTGGGGGCTTGGCTGAGAACTGTCTAAGCAAACAAAATGG